TTAAAAACAAATATGTGTTACAAATATGCTCTTATACTCATCTGCAAAACTTCGATGTGTACCTGGATGGAAACAATATGTGCATCATTATAAGATGTGAATTTCTGCAAAAAAAATAATAATCTGTTTCTGTACTACAGTAGTTATGTAAATCATTCATTAGGGCCAAGAGACTGCACAATTAATTTCAGTTGCTATATTTGATTGTGAACTACTGTCACCACCTGAAGCTCAAGGTATTAATAAATAATGGATACAGTATGTGTTATGTACTGTAACAGTTGCACACCATCAGGGAGAGAAAGTGATTTTAATCAAACCTTATGTTGCTGAAGTTCTTCAGCACTACTTGACACATTTAGTCCCTGGTTAATGACCAGGTTTTTGGATAGGCCCATCAACCTAGATTTGGGGTTCTGATTCTAAATTCTAAACCTAATCATTAATCTAGGATTTAGATCTGGGCTAAGGACAGAACAGCCCACTTTTGAATGTTGTTTTGTCTTAGAAATGTTTGAGTGAGCACTCACTGTGTCCTGAGATTTTGCTGGAATGCAGGGTAATCGCAGCTGTCTGTCTAATGGAAACTAATGTGAAAATGGACAGTGAATGAATAAAACCCAAATAAGACAAAAGGGTTGTCTGAGTACTGAGTGCATACTCTGTGTCCTCAACAAACCATGTCACGCAATTTATGGGAAAATTCTCATTGGTGGTCTCTTTTTACAACGAAGGCATGTTCATCTTGTCACCTCATTGTCAGTTAAACAGTAGCAGCCACAGTGGAGTGTTGCCTGCTAGAATCAGGCCTTTTGATCATGATGAGTTAAACTCAAGCAACATAGAGAGGAAGTGACCTGGTCAGTAAGCAACACCGAACAATGTTAATAGACTTCCTTTATCTCTTATTGTTTTAGTTCCAACTCGCACAACACATGGCCATTTTCTTTGGCACTTAGAAATTCAAAACTACTAATATGCCTCATTGTTTATTGTTTTTTTTGTCAGGCATAACTGAATCCCCATGTTGCAGCAAACATAGGAGACATTACAGAAGCACAAAAGTGTTGCTAATAGACACAGCCTTATCCTCTGCAGCATCTACAGCACTGCAAAGTCAGTTCTATAAAATCGTGCTCAGCGTTAAATTGTGGTGAGCCTTTTGCCCAGAAGTGCTAAGACATACTATTTTTTTCAGTTCAGATAATTTCTAGTACAGTCAATGACAGGTTGAAAAGAAACGGATTTGTAACTTTTGTGTTGATGTACATTTTTGCTTCTACTCTGGAACATTTACTGTATTTAGTACATTTCTGCATGCTTTTAAAGCATCTTGTGTCATAGCACTTTCTGAGAGGTCATTTTTCATTATCTTCACAAGTATTCCTTGTCAATCGGGCTGATATCACAATATAAGGAAAAGGCTTAGAGTTCAAGAAGATGGAGTTTCTAATGCTCCTTCAGACAAACATATTGCATATAATTTCATATTTGGAATACCTGCAGTATGATACGTCAAACTGATATCAGGTACAACTCATCTAAAATGCAAGGTGTCACTATTAAAAAACTAAAATTGAGTTCAGCATAAATAACAGTGTAGGTCTATGGCATATTCTTCTGTGGGGAAAAAAATGCGAACTCAAAGAACTAAATTCTACATTTCAGGTGCAGTAGTCTCATGCAGTGCAGTATTTTTTAAGGATTCTGCTGTATTAAACCCAAATCCCTTTTTAACAGGTCACTCTAAGCACCTGTATATCTGTTTTAATTTGGCATGAACATTAACCAAATGTTCAAAATGTTCTTTCCGCTGGATAATAAATGATTTGTCTAACATTTATGTTTAGTAGTAGTAATTGTAGTATTGTTATGGCTCTGGTTGTTGTAATTAAGTTGTCTATGGACATTAATTTGTGATTCCATGTGTATGAAATACAGAATGCCTGTACTGAGAATATTTTCAGTTTATTAAGCAGCTTGAGCCATTTCAGGTCAATGCTATCACAATGACAGAAAGTAGTTGTGCTGCTTTATATTTCTTACTTGAACTAAAATAGAACCTGTGACATTCCGGGGGTGGTGTACCATAGCGGGCCTCTTAATTAGACTTGGTAAACAGACACACATTTGTAGCCGTTAAATAAAAAAGCTCCAGCTCAGCAAAACAAAAAAGCTTGACTTTCTCCAACCTTAAACCTTACTTATTCTGGTGTCACTCTCTGTAAATGACCAGATAGCTAAGGTGCTTACCAGCTCCACCACCAAAACTCCCTGTTGAGAACCCAAAGTCTCTCTCTGAAAATTCTACACTCCATAAATAATATACAACAAAAATAAAGGTCAAATTTGCTTTATCGGTTTTGCTCTATCGTTTGTCTGGTAGATGAGTCTGCCCATCTGCCATTCAGTTCATTGGCTCTGATCTTGTGAATAACAGAGGATGACTGCTCACCTGAAATCCACAGCTTCCTGGTTTTTAAATATCACCCGATCAGTTGTGTTCCACCAGTTGGACAGGTGACAGAGGATGGCAGATCTTTCCCCATTTTTCTCTGGGGAATGCGGTCTCCATCCTATCTCCACTCATCACCCTCATACAAGCTCCATTTTGTCCATTTTTTCCTAATTTTTTCTAGTTAATTTTCCATGTTCTAGTTCTGTTTTGCATCAGAGCTTGTACAGTGTAGAGTAAATTCAGCTCTGTTGGGCATGTGTAGGATTTTTTAAAAGGATTTTTTCAGCCCTGGTTATGATATCATGATTTCGTCTAACGGATCTTCTAAAACCATATATTTACACTTGCACAGATTTACCCACACGGAGAATGTGAAGAATATATTGCCCGATTTTTACCTTCAGTATAAATGCACCAGAAATGATCTGACGTGTCCCCTTTTCTTCAAAACACAGAAGTCTGACTCCAAATTATTCAAATCACTTTGAAGTGCTGGTTAAGCGAAGTAGCTGTTCAGAAGAAGAAAATGGAATGTTTCTGACAGTCATTTCGCACTATGTTACTACAGTCCTAAACATATAAATGAAGAATATAATAAATGTTCTTCCCAAGATAAAAATATTTGAAACTGGAAAGATTTGTTATATTAAGACATTTCATTATTTTCCTAGCTTTCTGTAAAGTGACTGTAATGTGTTATGCATCTACATACATTGTATTGTTATTTTTAATATATACTGTGTTGTTTGTTTCACACTATATTGGAAAAATATAGATAAATTATTCTCTTCAGTTATAACCTGTCATCATCTTCCTGTAAAGCACAAATTAAATGCCTTTTTTCATTATTGACATTAGTAACCTGTCTAAATCATTCAGAACAATGAAACAACAATAATTCCAACATTCATATCATTATGCAAATTTGATATTGTGAACTTACTCTTTTAATTTTATTTCTTCCTCATTTAAATATAAAATGAAATGTAAATTACATACTAAAATGTATAGGCATTGTGTTCTTCTACTGTACATCACTTTTCTCGTACATTCATGGATTGCAGTAAGAGCACTGTTATTATCTTACTCTTACAAAACGGAAGCCACATTTTAGGTGTTTTCATCTTCTCTTTTTCGCCTTCTTCTTTTAATTATGAGCTAGAGTTAAAATAGGCTCCAGTTTATGATTTTCTGGTTTCTTGAATGCAGATAATGGACAACATGTTTAAATATCACAGTTTCTTATGCCAATGCATCATTTTTAAAAGTTGCTTTTGGTTCGTTAAGTTGAAGACTCGGGAGTTAGTGATGCCCAGGCAATGTTAAAATGAGAAAGACAATGTTGGGTCTTCCATTTTCATTATGAGAAGTTTGGGTATTTTTTTCTGTGAAGAAACAGCAGGTAAGAGGGCAAGATATTTTCTCAAAAAAAAAGAAACTGCAGTTTCCAGTAAATTATGTTGCACACTCCTGGACATTGTGTTCACACCCCTTCCCTTACTAATTACTAATTTCTAATATCTGTCAATACTGTTCCATTACTTAATTTTGTTCAGACACACCATTCACCTAATATTATGTTGCTCTGTTGTCTTAGATTTCTTTTGAACAGTGTTGTGTGAACTTGTCCAAAATGGCCCCTTTTGTCCAAAATCCCTGGGGAAGCTAAGTTCCTCAGATTGTCTGCCCTTTTATATAAAAAGCACAATATGTACAGTGTGTATTATACAATAACAACATCCCTCTGCCAGATAGGAGTCCTAACATACACAGTGATACATTCATGGACAAACCTTTTGAGAAAGTTAGTAAGGTGCTGATTACAAAACACCATTTCACACTTCGAAGTTATTATGAAATTAACTGTGATTTTGAAGGACTGTCATAGTGAAGTAATTGCAGATGATAATATGCATTGATACAACTCTAAGCGTGAAATGGAAAAGACAACAAACACAGCAGTGCCTGCTTCTTACCTCGTATTCATCATACAGAAAACTGACTTTTTCTGTACATCTGAAGAGTGGAAGAGTTGTACAGGGACAGGAAAACTATAAAAATGTTTTAGTGGCAAAGCTCTGTATATGTCTATATTATGAGCCTGTACTATGAAGTTAAAAAACTAAACTCAGCAATCATAAGCATCTTTTGTCTCCTTTGAAGGAACACTGTCAGTCAGAAGGAGTTTGTCAGTTATTAAAACAAGAAATGACCAGTATTGTCATCAATTTTTATACAATGTTCTGTCGAGAAAAAGTTTAAAAGAGGCCCAATGTCTGACAGATTCATACAGCAGATGCCAACTTCCCTATGTCTCATGTAATTACGTGACACATCATTATGGTGAAAAGAGTTAAAAGCAACACTGTGTGGACACTATTGTTAGACCAAACCACTTTACATGTGCTCAATCTTGGACATTTCAATAGTGGATAGCAAAGGGGAAATGAAACAAATAGTGGAACTAAGGATTAGAAGGATTAGGATAAGCATTTTTAAACTCTGGCTACTTTTAACTTGTGTCATTTACTTTTTTTTACAGAATGCTGAGATCACCAGCACTACAGGGTACGACACTATCATTCAGCGTCTCAATGATGGAAAGAAAACCTGCAAGGAAATTGAGGACTTCATCAAAGCTAGGTGAAGGTCAACAGTGTCTGATAGAGAAAAGCAGTTCGATTATGTTTTTCCTGTCCACAGATGGTATGGTGTAACACCTGGTTCCTCTGTACTGCTGTGGTAGTGTATATGAACACTGCAGTATAACTTATATTACAACACATATCAAAATGTCAAAATAAGGTGATTGTGAATGTCTGTATTTGTATTTGTTGTAGATATATATGCCCCACATCACTAAATTTATAGGCCAAATATCCTGATTTAAACATCTTAAGCTAAAGTGTTTCGAAAGCACAGCCCATATTTAACATTTTTAACAACCAGAGTAAAGTTTAAAATGAAATGAAAAGGCAAAGCATCGGTTAACAATGTATTTATGCAGCAAAGATTTTTTTTTCCCTATCAGCGGATCTTGATTGCATTCATGTGTTCTTTGGGTGGATTCTAAATGCAACTGAGCTAGTACTTATTGAATTAAGAGGAAAGCAGAAATGTAGTTATCTGAAATATTATGTAAGTGATTTTCATCCATCTCATATCCCTAAATGATTCTTTTAATGTCATTAAATATTTTTTGGAGCTGATAAAATCCTTTTACAGTAAGTTATTAACAGCTGTGGAGGAATATCATGACTGCCCTATGCCTGGTACATACTGTATATTAATAGTGGTGATTCAGTATGTAAAATGTCTTATTAAGCTATACAAACATAACAAAAAATGCTAAATATATATATATAGAGAGAGAACCCAACAGAGGATACCAATAAATGGATGGATATGTATGGTTAAAAAATGGTATTAACTCCATTGATCATTTGAAATGTAAGAACCATACTTTTTTTGCCTTCCTAACGACATACAATGGCATTGTACAGAGTATTTTGTTTCTTCCTGTTCTTCAAAGGGGTGCTCTAAGCAAGATACTGTCCTCTAATTTCCATTTTTGCATTCTTATTAGCATAATTCCTGTTATTTGTGATAAGATCCTGTTAGTCCCATATGTTCCTTGCTATTTAACAAACATGCATTGTTACATTTTTACAGCACATGTAGCCATTTGTTCCATTACAAAGCCTCACATTGTTACGTTTTTCATTTATCCTTTGGACAAAGTCAGCTGCCAGGGTGACAAGTTCAAACTTTTTCCGTGGCTGAAACTGATTAATTGCAGTGTTACATTTATCCAGTTATTAAAGATAATCACTTAACAGCAATGCCAAAGGTTTGTTCCTGGCACTGGGCCGATTCTCAGTGGAACTAAATATTATTCTAGGTTTAGGTTTACTCGCAGGGAAACTTTATAAATAAATGTAAGTATAATAGTAAAGGATCAAGAATTTGAATCAGACCTGGCTGACTATTTTCCTTAGTCTTCTGCCTTCTGAAATCATATCAGCTTAGAATCTTAAATGTAGTACAGCTTTTTCATGAGAGTGCTGAGCTGCATACTGTAGGTGCAGGGGTTGCAGAAGAACACACATACAGGAGGTTTATTCAGTGGAAAAAAATAAAGAGTAACATTTCATCACTGGAGTCTTTCTTGGACCTCCTGTGTAAAAAAGCGACGTAGAGGGGCGTAATAGAAAGGTGTAGGCTGGAGAATGAAAAAGTAAAGATGGCTGGAGAATTAGTTAAGACATTTAAGAAGCAGATTTCAAGGGCAATTTTGAAAATTATCAATCATGAGAAACTTATAAGGAATTGTATTTGTCATGACTCTTCTGATTTGTAGTTTTCAAAGACTTGGAGGGGTTAACTCAAACCAGCTCTCTTAAATCAAGGGAATCTGTGACCAAAAATACTATTTCTTTCCTCTTCAATTGGAAAGTGTTGATGCAAATACATGTAACATTTCCTTTTGTCTCCTAGCAGACTACCCTTCTATTCACAAATCTCTTCAGCGAATGAACTGGTTTAACCTTATTTCACAGTATACCATTACAATAAGGCAAATGTTTTTTGTGCCTGTTTTTTTGGTCATATGTTTTTAGAATTGGGAGAAAAGTATGTGTAATTCAAGGAATACGCTCAGGGTGTTCAGAACATCTTGGAGCTCAATTGTCTGGAGAGTGTCCAGACTATCCACTTATACTAAAAGACATGGTTATGGGCACCATGCATTGCAAAGAATGCTATTCGCTGTCACTTATTTGTCAAAGACACCTCGTCTAACTTTATTGCAGGTACAGAAAGTGTTAGCTGAGATCCCGTGGTGGTTTAATGAGTTCAAGGGATGCCCAGACTTATTTCCACAATTCTAGAGACATTTATTGAATAACCATATCTCTTGCACAGATTATGTCTTCCCTTGTACATTGAATTGCAAACTATCATATTTTGTTACTGCTGTTGTTTTTGATCAAGAATGATGAACACAAAGCGAGACACTATCAAAGAGTTAGGCCATGTTGTACTGAGCATTTGTCATTGTTCTACAGCTACATTCCTGTTACTGTACATTCCAATAACGTACATTAATTAAGTATGAGAGGCCCACATTCCTCAGAACCCTTTGTTAGTCATCCAATTCCAAGACATGTCTGTATGAATAAACAATAGAAAAAAGCTTCCTCTCAGGTATAAAACTGCGTCTTCTTCCTCACCTTTGGAATCATCAGTGCCCCCCCAGAAGAAACCGACAATATCCGAATTACGAAGTTGGAGAGAGGGGCAAAACAGGCATAATTAGGAGTGAGAAGCGATCTTTTTCTATACCAAGTCACAGGAGACTGGAAAACGAACTCGCCAGCTGACTCCACTGGATCATTTCATTTGTGAACTTGTTTTTTGAACTTCAATTTCTCATAGCAGAGCAAAACACAAAACATCCCCCCAACTTCCATCGATGGAGCCCCCCCCCCAGGGTTTCCTGTCAAAAGGACTCCAGAAATCATGCAAAAGACCCAACTGAAAGGCCTTTTTAAACTATTTGAAGAGATTCTTAAACTAATAAATTACTTACAACCGCACAAACAAGTTGAGCATTTTTAATCCTTCTTATGTTCTTATGGTGGGCAGCATGGCAGCGCACTGGTTAGCTGGGGCCCTGGGTTCATTTCCTGGGTGCTATCTGTGTGCCGTTTGTGTGGTCTCCCTTTTTCCGCCTCCACAGACATACTGGTAGGTTAATTAACTTCTGGGAAAACTGGACCTAGTATGTGTTTGTGTCTGTGTGCTCTGTGATGGTCCAGTGTATACTGCCTTGCACCCATTGCATGCTGGCATAGGCTTCGGTTCCCCTGTGACCATGAACTGGAAGAAGAAAAATTCATTTGAAAATGAACTGATGGATGGGACCTCATTGGATGGAGTGAATATTTTCTCTAAGACACTGTGGATACAGTTCCCTCCAGATTTATGCATACGGGAGATGAAATAAGAAACAAAACAACATATAACATCAGAAAACAAAAAGAATTATGGACTGGATGATGTCTTGCTTTGAAAAATTTAAAAATATTATACTGCAATTTTTTATAGCATTAGACAGTTCCTCATTCGTCTATAAAACATAAGTCAAATCTATAAGTATTCTTTTGTTGTTGGATTTTAGCTAGGTTGTTGTTAGTAGTTAAGAATGTATGATGCTACACCCAAACAAGACAATAATAGATCACTTTTTTTTGCATCAGTGGCAAGTAAGAAAATGTAGGAAATACATTTTCTTGAAGAGCCTCTGTAGCTTATGAAAACTTAGTGCAATAAGAGAATCTGTTTATACTTTTTTAAGATATTCTGAAAATTAGTTTTTTTTCATGCAGATGAAAGCTGTTAAAACCTATCCAATTATTTTTTTGCAGGGCTACAATAGAAGAGAAATATGGCAAAGATTTATTGAACTTATCCAAGAAGGTTTGTGGACTAAGTGAACTGAAGTAAGAACTAGTGTTATTTAAGCTTAACAACTCTTTGTTCCTATTGTAGTTTTGGCGAGGAAGACTAAACCTCTTGATTTCTTCATGCTGATTTTTTAAATTATTTTTTTTATTAATGCCCCCTTTTAGTTTTTGGTTAATGAAAGACATCCGTATCTGCAGACTGTACTCAAACTTAATGTGTCGGAGTACACACATTGGTATAAAACGATTTCATTGGCCTGACAACCAATGATTTTGTAGCAGGTATACTATTGTAATAAGTAACACAATACACAAGCTATAATTTGTTATTTGCATTACATACCAACTTTGTTTCTTAGCATTTTTTCTAACATTAAATTGATGACCATTTTTTAAAAGAGACTTTTGTCTTAAGATGAAATTTATCCCATGTTTAAGACCCTCACTGCCAGAGAGTAGCAGTAAAGAATGTAGGTGAATAAACTGCATTCAGATAGGGTTTACCTATATTTATATCAATGAAAATGTATAATAAACAAACAGTATTTAAGTAAATTAACTGGTGAATTAAATGGATTCAGACTAAGATCTCTTCATTTCTATGTAACGTTGATATCGTACATTCCTTGAATACTTTGTGTCATATCTGTGAAAGCAAATGATACTGCAGTTTCCTCAGAAATTCTTCACCTCCCTGATAGTGTTTTTTACTCTTCTTATTGTGGTTGTTTCTTAAAGAAACCATGCTTCTTTTCAAATCACAGTAAATGTGACTTTACAAAAGCTAAGCTGACCCACTTTGTGTGACCCACAGCTTGGAAGCAGACTGATAAAATTCTGTTTATTTTGCAGCACACTTAAGAGATCCCTGGATGTTTTCAAGTTGCGTAAGTACTCTGCATCTGAAATTGCTTCAGAGTGTCAAAAGGAGTGTCAAAGGGTGTGGCACCATTTCAAATGACAAAGTGAAACTAAACAACAATTGTGTTCATTGGTTTGATAGCTGCATTCGTTATTTACTTACATGTCGATGTAACTGGCTAAGGATTTTATCCAGAATAATATGAGAATAGAGATGACATTGTTTTTTTTGTACACAAATTTTTGATACTATTCTATACAGCTGAGATAACTGGAACTGTCAAGATACAAGTAGCCAGTACCTTTTTATAGTAGTAGGGCATAACTATAAAAAAGTCAAAGCAGAATGCATATCATATATGCATGTACTTTATATATCTATATCAAAAAAGGCAAAATACAATCTATCCAATCCTATTATGTGACTGTCCACATTCAGGAAGTTTGTTTCTTTTTGCAAACATGGACCAAGTGTTTTGCTTCTTTTTTAGAAATTGAAAATGTTGGTACATCGCACATACAGCTGGCTCAGACATTGCGAGATGAAGCCAAAAAACTTGAAGAATTCAGAGAAAGGCAGAAAGAGGCAAGGAAGAAGGTAACACAATGCTAAATATGCTTACTGATGTGCTCAAATAATTGAGAAAAGTAATTCCTACACAAATGTTAAGAACTACAATTGACTTCAGTGTTTGTGACATTCAGTTGAATCAATATACTATCAATTGGAAAAAAAACAATTTATATTGGTTAACAAAGTGATGCATGAAATTATAATTAATTTGTTAAATAACCTTGAATTATGATAATGTATACAGATTGAATCAGCACTGTAAGGCATACAATGGTAAAAAATAACTAAAAGAAAAAGTAGCACACAGATGGTTGAGCAATATCTAGTGTATACAGCTGTCAGTACATTTATTAATACACCCTTTTTTAACTGTGCTCAATAATTTAGTACTGCACAGCCTAAGCACGCAGTGTTTAGGGAATTATTAGAAAGACCGTTTTCCTAGTCATGTTTGTGGCACTCCAAATTCCAGATTGTGGCACTTTTAGGGGGGATTCTGACTTAGAGCATTAAATCATTATCTCATACATTGTAGCTTTGCACATATGCTTAAGTATTAGAGTAAGAGCACACAACAAGGGATGAACAATTTTACATAGCCAATCAGTCTTTTGCGAGATGGCCGGAAACAAATGCATGTTGAGAAAAGTCACATTAACATGAGGAGAGCCGGCATCAAAATGGACACCTTTCATTCAAATTTAACATGGTCAGATGCCCAGAGTCAGAATCAAACTCAGGACCATTGAAATCTGGGGCACTAATTACCATGCTGCAATAGCGCACTTATTAAGAAATTAAAAGGGGGGAAAATAATGCCAATGAAAATGTGAAATGCATAATACAAAACTGCACATGATAAGATTTTAGTATTTGTGTATGAGAGTGAGAGTATAGGTGTTTAGTTAAAATATTCAGAAAATAAATTGTCTGTTGCTACATACTTTATTAAGTATTAAGTACAGTTATTGGAGTTTTTTGGTATTTTATCTTTTAATCTTACGTATTGTGATATTGCATACATTTCCACTTGCTAAATTTGGCCCTTACATAGGTCACACCTCCGTGATATCAGAGATAATATCTCTGTAAAAGTGCTGACTGACCATATAGAGTAGCACTGGTTGCTTTAACCGTTCTGTCTTCATTCTGTCGCAGAAGCTCTTAGTCCTGTTACATTTGTTATTGCATGTGATTGCTAGAGCAGACAGGTCCACCTCTTGCTTTTTCAAAATAAAACAATTTGCAGCATTCTCTCATTTAGGTAGAACAGCATATGGAGGCGTTTCACAAGCAGAAGGCAACCCAGTACAAGAAAACAATGGAAGTAAGTTTTGAACTCTGTTTGAACTCTGTAAGATTTATAGGAAGGGAGCTAATAGAGAATCAAACTGGACATTAGGTATTGAGTTTATGAAGCTTCTTCCCCCTTCAAACAGTCCAGGGAATTTGATTTAAGGAATTTTGGTGTCCCGTGTAAATATATTTGTGTAGAACAACTGCTATCTAAAGTGCTGGAAAAGAAACCAAAAACAGCTTTGCTGCATTAAAGCTCTGCTGCACTAGTCATTAGTTGTGCTCAACGTTCCTGGCTCCATGTATCAAGTTACGGTAAAAAAATTACATTTGATCTTTCAAAGCAGAAATACATCATTTAACACATAAAATAAATGTGTAGTGCAAAAAACTATAGAATATTTTTGGTCATCTAGAAAAAGGAAAGCTTCTTCAGTGTCATTTCTTTTATTTACATCCCATGAGAGAATAAGAAGCTCTTTAGTAATGACTAGACTTGTCATTACTGGACAGTAGTGTGGCTTTCCTTCATTCGCTGGCCCTTGAGGGAGAACAAGTAACCCCCAAAAATGGGCCTGTCGTGCTTCTTAAATTGATTAGTCATTTTGAATGAAATTGTTCAAAACAGGAACAGTACAGTTCTTTGCCGCCTTCTGTTTCCATCAGCCAAAACAGGAGTGTGTGTTTAAAATGCAAAATATTTGAAAAGCATAATGTAGTGACGAGTAAATAATTTTGATGAAGGATGTAAGGTTTGCTTTTTAGTGCCATGATCAACCTATATTAGGGCAGTCATCATTTGCTTTTAATAGAATAGTCTTCTCTTATACGTCTTGGCTGTACAACATAAATTGCATTAGTGTGCTTTTTTGTTTGGAAGACAAAGAAAACCTATGAGCAGAAGTGCCGTGAAAAGGAGGATGCTGAGCAGACTATGAATCGGAATGCCAATACAAGCAATGCTAAACAACTGGAGAAGGTAGGACCTCTTATCTCTTATCTTATCTCTTATCTCCAGACAAAATCTTTCTGCATGTTTTGTAAGTTTAAAGTGCCTAGAATTTGCAGATTGCAAATCTTTAAGGGATCTTAGATTGCAGCAGGGGGTTTTAGATATGGTGCGAGTTTTAGTTGTTTGCATCAGAAATGGTAAAAATAGTTATGTAAAAATAGTAAATAACCACCACCAAGTTCCCCTATTCAGGCATTGAGTTTGTATTTGCAGAGATTTACGTGATTCAAAACATTTCTGGATATCTGTTCAAGTAGGGGGTAAGGCTGCCATGAGGATGGAGGGGATTTGAAAAGTTTTTTTGTTAGGCAAAGAGAGAAAGCAAGAAATTTCTATTAATACCAATAGTTACATAGCAGATGTAATGTTTACTCATGGTCTAATTTAATACATTTCTCTTGAATGGCAGATAAAGGCATAGATATAAAAAGAAAGATATAAAAACTAATTTTACACTCAGTGACCTCAGGAAAGGGTTACATCTCAGAGTGCTTCAAGCATGTGTAAAACTGTGTGGCTGATTCTTTCTTCCTCATTTTTACTTAAGCAACCCCTGTATTCTGTAAATATAAGAACTCCAACATTGCAATGAATGAAAAAAAAATTGCAAAAGCAGGACATCCCACTGTGAGAATTTGTGTTGCTGCAGTAGATTCTGAAAGCGAAAGATATTGACTGTGACAATCTTGGAAAACCCAAAAAAGTCAATAGTTTTTTTTTACACAAATTGTGACAATGTTGTGACCATGCATGCTAGCTCATTATATTTCTTAATGTCACACCTAATTGCAGAAACACCCAGACAATGTGCACACAAAAATATTAACATCATTCTTTCACCTTTTAGCTGAGTTTGAAATCTCAGCAAACAAAAATGGCTGCAGAGGACGCAGGTAAGTGAAATTTTAATTTATTTGTGGAGCTGAGAAGTGACATTTTGACATTGAATTTATTTAACAGGCATTGTATACAGTAGTATACAAACCATTATAACACACTTCAGGATATTAATAAGGGCATACTTAATACTCACGCATGATATGTTTTAATTAAATGTAACTCAAACCTTTTTGGAAATGTAATAATGTATCAAATGTTGATACATAGGGGTGGGTCTGGGGCTCATTTCCTGTAAGCGGAGTACTGTATCTTTCCCAGTTTTCATCACAATAGATTTTACAATCTCATCTCAATAAAAAAATGTTGAAATTAATGAATATCTGGTGTGTTCCATTCCTGGACAGGGTGCTGGGATTTGCCTGCCATTGTAGTCTTGTGCAAAATTAAAATACCGGTGAAAATAACATATAACAAATATTTTGCTTTAATTACAGTAAACTAGAGTAGTGTACAACCTTTTATTTTAGGGATCTTTCTGATTCCGAATTATCTAGAGAAAACCTTGGATGAGTCCCAACAGCTGTGGAACTCTAGCAAAGTAAACTATAGTACAGAACGTGAAAGAGAAGGGATGTTATATGTAACAATAAAACATAATTTTAATTACTATTTTTATGATAAAGTAGTTCTCCAAAAATAGCAACAAGAAATTAAGATACATTCAATTTTTCAGGTGTTTTACTGACTCTTATGCCACCTTCAATGCTTCATTGCTTCGGTTACATTTTAGCCTTTGTAAGTTCACCCAAGGTGTGCTTCAGCTGAATCAATTCTAGTTTATGAAAAAATAATAAAAATAATTCCTTACATTTATATAGATCACAAAGCACGTGGGAAGAGACACACTTCGTCTGGCTACATTCATGCACCATCAGTCCCACTGCACAGCAGATCAGAAGAAGAGGGATATTGCTTTTGCCAACTAAATTAATGGCAGGCACTAGGAAGGCTAGAATGTTCAAGCACATATTGGAATTTAGTCAGGAAACAGAGGATAACCACTACTCTTGAGAAAAATGGTATGAAATCCAGATCCAGAGGGATGAGTGCCCCTTGCTGGTCTACTAACACCACTTGTAGGAGCAACATGGATTTTCTTGGAGTTCTCCTATCAAAGTACTTACCAGGCCAATCTTTTCTTATCTTCTGTGTAGAGACAGAATCTGTGTTACTATTCCTATGATGTAAGCAAGCAGGTTGCCTAGTAGTATGGCCTGTTACTTAAACTTCTTCTTCTGTATTATTTCAGACAGAATGTACAGTCAGAATGTATCCATCCTGGAGAAAATTCGCGAGGACTGGCAGAAGGAGCATGAGAGAGCTTGTGAGGTAATCATCTCTTTGTGCTCTCAAAGCCCTTCTTCCGCACTCCTATGAATGAGAAATGATCTTGGTATTTGGATAATGTAGACCTCTCCCATCTCTACAATAAACACCATTTAGTCATAAATACAGTGACTATACTTCGGTTTTGACAAAAATCCATGGATCAAATTCTTATGCTTCATGGTGCAATCTACCCTGTGTGCATTGTGAACCGTTGGAAGGCAAATTTAAAGAAGGACTGCACTTACAGCTGACATGCCATTGGAGAACACTATACAGCTTCTACTCTTTGTACATAGCTACATAGTGGGTGTTGATTAGGTAATTGATTAGATACAATAAGTGGGAGTTTTTGTGTTTGCCAATCCCTTTGGGACAATCCTGTTTGAGGGTAGGGTCCACCACAAAATATTTTTATTGGTCTCCAGTAGGTTCAATTTAGAAATTAATGTTTGAGTTGTTTTTAAACAGGGTGTTATGGGTATCACTTACAAGAACATCTATATTATTTCTGTGGCCAGTGCATCTCTTTCTGCACCTCAATCCTGATTACCCTGCACTCACACGTTTTGCATATTTCTCTTTTTAAAAGCAAATCTGTTAATTTTAGAATTACACTAAATTTGCTGGGCTGTTTTTAAAGAATTTCCACTTCAAAAACAAAAAGAGGAAACCAGAAAACCGGGAGCTGCATTACAAAACAAACAGCTGATTGTCTACATTTTTATTTTAACTCTGAAGTTGCTTCCAATGTTTAATATAGAACAGTGAATCCTGAATTAATTGTTCATAGCGTGATGAAGGTACTGCTATCATTCTTGGTTGAAGTGCCTGTGTTTGAGGTTGCAGGTTCTCTCTGTGTCTACACAGGCTTTTCCCAGGTGCTCTGCCTTTTTTCTTAAGACATGCTGGCTGTGTTAATTGACATCTCTGTAAATGGTCTCTGTCTGCTCATGCTTGTGCATGCCCATGGACTGGAATCATGCCCAGGGTGCGGTCCCATCTTGAGCCCTGTGTGCTTCTGGAATGGGTTCTGGGTTGCCCTAACTGTGGTTGTATAATAATGAATGGATAAGTCAACATTGCCACCTAGTGGACTGCTAGTCTGTTTACTGCAGCTCTGAAAAGGAAGCCGGGAATAATTGAAAATGAAGAGTCTTGCAGAACTGCAGGAAATTTTGTTCTAATCATACTCATATCTACAGATATTTGAGAACTACGAGGTGGAGAGGATAAGTGCCCTGCGGAATATTTTATGGACTCATCTCAACCATCTTTCTCAGCAGTGTGTCACCAGCGATGAGGTGAGGCTCATTCTTTAGTCTCTTTTTTAAAATACTTTGTTTCTGTGTCATATACCCATTGAAAAAGAACAAAGTTTCCAGAAAATGTCATTGTGAATTTAACTTACCTGGTTCAGAAAGAATGATTTGTATTTTAGTTCAAAGTGTAATTGAGCTATTTGTACTTTTTGCATGGTGAAAACCTGTCAGACCAAAATCTGTGGAATTAAATTAAATTAAATTACTCTTGTGAGTAATCTGTGGCATGTATTGGTCTATAAAATTACAATGATAATTGTATAGTAATCACAAGTAATATTGTGATTGTAATTATATGAATAATTATTAATCCTACGGTATTTGTTGTGTTGTTAAAATTTAATAGACACTATTGAATAGACACTTGCACCTACTGCTGCAGTGGATATGAAACATACAGTAACCTAACTCAAGCGTTCTGGTCGAATTCCAGTCTGGGCTTGTACAAACTGGATTACTGAAAATACACCCTTAATTCAGTTGGTGAAACCACCTGGTTTGCAGTGTAGTGGGACTGTTGGTGAATAAAGGCTTGAGCATTACACCCAGCTGGGTGTTCCACCAGCGGGAGATTGGTGGTGGTGGAGAGGAGTTCTCATTAACTGTAAAAGTGCTTTGAGTGGAGTGTCCAGAAAAGCGGTATATATGTGTAAGCAACTATTACTATTATTATAAGTAGGTCTCCTCCTGTATGTAAAGTGCTCTGGGATACTTTGAGATACAAATGTCTATATAACTGCTATTAACTATTAGTTTGTATCTGTTTTGCTGCAATACATTTGCACCTTAGTTTTTGATATCCCTATATTAAGTTGTAAAATCCTGAGTACTTCTGTTCACATACATCTCCTGTGACTCTTTACTCAGCTGTATGAAGAAGTAAGAAAGTCTTTGGAGCAGTGTAGCATCCAGAAGGACATTGAGTACTTCATTGACCTCAGGAGAACTGGAGACAAGCCACCAGGTACAGTATGTTTCCCAGGTGACATTGTATAAGGACTACAGGAACCCCTGAACCCGTGTTCTTTTGTTCCCCATTTAATGAATGTCTCCTATGCTGGAGGTAATATAATTGTCCTCTTACAAGATGTCTACATACCTACAGGTATGTCACTGCAATGAATGACCATAGCTCCTTTCAACAAGGAGCATTATTATTGTATTTGATGACAGAGGTATATTTATTAAAATCCACCAATACAGGAACCTCAGTTATAGCTCTCATTTTGGTGGCTTTGTTCATTTTATCCAGCTCCCATCCCATACGAGAACTTCTACAGCGGTCAGAGGCCTCCTGTTGTTGGTCGCCTAGGGTTTCTAGGTGGAAGGTAAGAATGAATTCCACAGGAGCATCTCCAGTGTTTTACTGGAGTCTGTGTTGTAAATAAGAATGGGTTAGCATGGTTCTGTGGGGCGTTTGTCGTTTCTAATGACTGTATTATTCACGTTCTGAGATTCCAGTCAACAATGAAATAATTAAACATACAAAACATGGACCAACTCGTTACCCCCAAGCATTCTATAATCAATGTCAGTTTAAAATGTATTAATCAAGAATATACCCTCTGTCCTAAAGCACTTTCTGAATTCCCAGTGTGCGAGCTTCATTGATACATTCAGAACACAAATGTCACAGATTTCACTGTTAAATTTAAGCTACTTTATATTGTTTTTCTTAATTACACATGTCTACTTGTCATTTTCTCTTATCTTTGCAAAGTCTATTCTTTAATCCCTGTTGTAATATTATTTTTACTTGTCCTGCTATTGTTTCTCTTAGGCATTTTTTTTCCATTTTCATTTTTTCTGTTTTTCAGGAGAGGACCATTGCCTAACCCTGTGGATACAGAAAGTAAGTAAAATTAAAACACAGTGTTTCTGTGCCTTGCAGATAAACACCTTTCCATAAGTTCTTAATGTAGGCTACAAATCTGGATTAATCCTAAAAATTAATTAAAAATATAATAATGCTGGCAATTTTTTATAAATTGCCCATAAGAATCAATGTATATAAGGGTTAATGGGGAATGGAAAGATGTAAATGTACCCTTGTTTTACCCCTATTGGATTTATCCATAAGAAACAACCAAATAACCCAAACTTAGCATGTTTTAACACATTCATGAACAAATACATTATGTAATACGGGAATGCTTATGCTTAGCATCAATGTATATTTAGATTTATATATATATATGTATGTATATTTATAACATAAACATAAAATAAAACTTACACTACACTTCTTTGACACACTACACTTCTACACACTATACTGTACATCTGCACACTGTAATTACATACATACAAATGTATACAATTATAATAATAGTAGGACAGTACTGTGTATGACATACGTATAACTATTGTAATATGACAAGGGAAATTTGCAAGAATTTTCCTGATTAATGGCAATTTTTCCACTCACATTTTAGTGGGAAGTTTGCTTCCAGAGGACTTGGTAGTGACCTAGTAGGGATGTTTTATATCCCTGTCCTAAAAATTAAATGGTGTAAGTTCAGGGAGAGGTACTGTATAACATTAATAACAATAGAGACCATCTGTAATGTGTTGAGGGAGTATGTTTATGTTGCCAAATTTGAAAATTGCTTTAACTTGTAATACAATATTAAAGAAACCAGAGAATATCTCTACAATGTTTATTAATCTTCACATGCAGGGTAAAAATAATCTTTGGACAAGATTTTATTAAATCTTGTTCTGCTGAGTTATTGTCTGTAGGTGGATATGTCAGAGGTCCTCATCTATATGTCTCATTCTCCCACAAGCAGAATACGGAGTTGCAGCCATAAAGGGTTGTGTTATGCAATTAGGTATTTTAAATTGTGTGGCAATAAAAGTAAAAAATTGATGATAAGTCAATAACATACAAATACCGAATTAATTTTAATTGACGCTATTGTATTTTTTAAGGTGATGGCATTTATTCAACAGTTAACGACCCCACCTATAGTTTTGTGCGGCAATAGATCATGTAAGTTTTTTTTTTGTTGTTGTATTACCTCCTCTTATAATTACACTGCCATGTATTACTTTTGCCTATTCCAGTACATTGTGTGAATCTGGTTCAATTAATGGTTATGCATGATATAGACAGTAAGTTATAATTTTAAACAATTGGAGTTGCATATCTATGTGTACTGTACTGTATGTGCTTATGTGTGTATAAACATATTGCATATATTTAGTAGCTGTTTGATAAACGTTTATGAAAGATCTACCCAAGGCTTCCAAAAATGAATTAATTGTTTAATTGTTGCAATGGTTGATTAATTATCACAGACTTAATCATCTTCTTGTTGTTGCAGCCCTTCATCCTTCGTCCTCATCACCAGAGAATGTGGATAGAAACAATTGAAAACCACAAGACTGCATATTTAATACCAACCTTTTCCGTATAACAATTTCCCTTTGTAACGGCAAAAAACACTTACTACTGATATGCCATTTGTCTAAAGTGGTGTATAAACTGACTTCCACAGCAATCAGATGTCTGATTGTGAAGAGGGCAGAACTAATTTTCACTTCATTATTGAAGACAAAGAGTTATGGTCTTTGACACTGTCTAGCTCTTATTAAAGCCTTTGCAGCATTTTCTCATGTTACATCTAGAAAATGTAAATATCTACAGGAATGACATACATTTTTGTGCTTGTTGATACACTGTATTGTTCTGAATTCTGACCTCATGCACAGTCTCTCTGGAGAGAAATGGTACATTTTCCTCTTTGACCAAACTGTCCATCTTATACAGTACATTTACTAACAATTTCTCCTTAGCTGAAGGTAAGAACCAATTCTTACGTTTTTCTTAAGTACTTTGAGAGAGCCTTTAACACCCAGAGTGTATTTATAATCTGCCTCTGCTCTGCTACTGCACACCCAAGGAACAGTCAGGGCTTCACAATAAAATAAACAAATGGTGTGCTGGATTTTTATTAGTAGCTGTTTGTCGGTTGGCCTTATATTGATAAGAGATAAAGATGGAGAAAGGCTCATAGCTGAACACTGGGTTCAGTGAGCATGGAGGACTGAAATGTGCACTGCCAGAAAGACCTAATGCACCTTTCCCTTTAGAAAAATGAGAAATGAAGATCCTACTCTGTTCTACTTTCTGTTCTTACCTATCAGATAATTTCTTTGAATAGTCTTCATGGCTTTAGAGTTATAAATTATGAAGAAAACATTTTTATTTGCACTTTGCTTGGGTATCCTAAGAGTCAACCCCAGCTGTATGCAAAATTTACTGTTGGTAAATGTGGACAGAATTACAGAAAGGATGATAATATAGATTATTGGAAACATTTACTGTATGTCCTATAACTGTCATATAATAAATAATGCCAATACTGTTCATTTGATTCACACTGAATGATGATGTACATGCTATTCAAGAGAATACTAATCCATATTTATAATTATATGTATAGTTTCCCAAAAAAAGTTTATGATCCAGCATAGAACATATCTATGGTATGGAGAAATATTTGCACAACCCAGTGTTTTTTTTTAAACTTCAAAACACAAATATTAACTATATACCAGAAATGTAGGAACATACCATATATGGTCGTAGTTTCAATTATTCTGAAAACTACAGTCTTGCAGGTGTATGCATATTCTTTTCATGATGTCCCATTGTGTTGAACTACAAATGATAACACATTTTTTAAAGTAAACATTTTTAGCTAAACTTGCATTGTCAAACTGAAAACTTTTATTACTGACCAGATGTGCACGTTTCAAACTGTGTAACACTATAGGTCAATGTTAATGGTTAAAAAATGTGTCCCTTCATATGTATATTTCGGACAATCCTCACACAAATCCTCTCTTACAAACCCTTGGTTACTGTGGTAACAATGCTTTTCTTTATGGTTTTGTTCCATTTTACATCATTTTTACTGCACTACTGCAGATCAATCACTCAGACATCTCAACGTGATCAAATGTTTACTCTGTTGGTCCTTATTTTCCTAGTGGTATTATTGAGAGAGAACTGCATGCTCTGTAGTAAATTAATTTAAAGTAAGTTCCTACTGTCTTCACACAGAGAAAATCAGTCCTGCTATACTGAATTTGTAAAATATTGTTAGAAATGTCTCAACTTTCTTATACTTTTCATACATTTTTCATACATACGAACAATAGAAACATTGCAAGTTATGGTTCTTTTTGAATTTTAAAACCTGTGTTCTATACTCTTTTCTTCACACAAGAAAAAAAACTAGCAGGATATTCAGGAATCCTATTCCATTGTATACTTCTCTTTCATATTCATGGAAAGGAACAGTATGCTACCTGATTTTAATGTTTGTGCTTCATAAATTATATTATTTATAATTAGAGTGTATGTATTTCTTCTTATTTTAGTTAAAGCATTTTTGCTTATTTAATACTACTGGTTTTTACATTTTTAATACTATGGTCAATATTGGCTATTGCCTATGCAATGCCTTCAATTACATGGCTTATTTTATGTATATAACACTGCCTAATAATTGCAAAACAGAATGTCTACTACATGAAATATACTGTATAACCAGAAGTGCTCAGTGAAATTTAGATGACTTTTTTCCTTTATGGTGATAAATATAGATAATATGTAAATATAATAACAAATATTAATACATTTCCATCTACAATTTGAAATTGAAACAAGACCTGGTAAAGTGGAATATTATGTACGGTGGATGATAAGACCATATGGAATGTAATTGCAATGTGACTATTAATACATTAAATGGCTGCACAAATTGTAAGCTGATTTATTTGAAATGACCCATTTTATGTGCATTAAATTTTCTGTTAATAAATATTCCATCAAAATAAGCCAGTTTGGTGTTTTAATAGTTATTCCTGTCACAGTGGTTTTTCTAGAGTTTTCTCAGTAGCTTCACAGCTCCTACTTTACAGACACTACTATTTGTGCTAGCCTTTTAGATTTATCCTCACTAACAATTCTCTTAACGTTATTTAATTTAACGTGAACACTGGAAGGAAAATTGAAAAGATCTTTCAATTCAATAACAGCTCACACAGTTTAGTTTGGTTATTAAGCCATATTGTAAAATCTTGGATTAATTATATCTAAAATTCATTATAAACAGGAAATAGAAGGTGACCTTCATCTTAGACAGGCAAAGGTCCTGTCATGGTCGTCATCCCTCCTCTGGAGGGCGCTCCTACCTTTTTCATTGTGTTCCCAGTTTTGTCTCAGCTGTGTTATTCCCTTTTCCCTATTTAAGCCTGGTGTCTCCATAGTTCTGGGCTCAGCTCTGGAAGACAGACGCCCAGAAGCCCGCCTACCACTGGGCACAGGAGTGGCCCAAGGGCATAGGCTTCATCACGGTGTCCTGAGCTATTGAGTGCGGGACTCAGAGCGCCTTGTCCCATCAAGGTTTTAACTATTCCTAGTTCCCTGTTCCCTGTGTTGGTCTTGGATGGATCATCTTGGACCTGGACCTTGGTCTGTGCCCTGATTTCCCCTACTGGACCTCATTTTGGACTCCTTTGCCTGCACTCCCCTCATGCACCACATCACTGCTGTCACCACCCTCCGACCTGATCCTACGGTGTCTTTCCTGATGTGCTACTCCAGTCACTTCCAGATTATACCGTCTCGCATAGGGTCTTTGCATTTCACGGGAGTCAGAACCGGCTCCCCTGACAGGTCCCTCTCAAACAATACAGATATTTATTATTGTGTGAAGTGGCAGCTTATGATGTCCATTTGGCACCAAGTCAGGGCATTAGAGCTCTGCCAGTCAATGATCATGAACCCCACTGAGTTCTGAATTCTCAGCTGATTCCTGTAAAAGCATCTGGTACTGGTCATTGGTACAGATTATATATTTGGAATGACATGCATGAGGAATACTACAAAATGTCTGTGTTGCTCCCCTTTACTAAGTAAACAGTACCACAGAATATTGTTATACAGTTAGAAGTCAAGCTACAGCAAATGAATGTTAATAATTTTTCAATTAGATATACTTATCTATACAGACCTACCCAAAGAGGACAAACTTTGCTCCCACTACTAGCAGGGGGAAGCAGAGATAGAGATGCAATTTCTCTGAAGGGTGAAATAATAGATGATTAATCAGGGCCTCTGATGACTAATGGGTTAGAGATTGGAGTCTTCCAGTGGAATCCAGCTTTTCTGAGACATGGAGTAACTGGGGGATTCCAGCCAGACATAGAATTGGATTCATGCCTGTTGATCACCCATGCAAACCCATCAACATATCATAACATTTCATTTGCTCCCTTACGTATCATATCAATGTAAATGTATTACATAGTGTCTGGTGCTGAAACATACATACGTTTTCTTCAAGGTCTATAGCAATGAATTTACTTAAATCTATTTGAAAAGAGTACCTGTACTTCATTTTCTCACTTTTTGCACATTATTTCACATGTGAACATGTGTTGATGGATATAATTTTCCAAGCAAATTAGTGAACACTTGACCAAATGACACACTTATCTGTGGAACAAACAGCTGGTCACAAGCATCTTCGAGATGTCTGTGTCCAAAGCCTGAATCAAATTGCAGAGCAGATTCAGCCACAAGAGAGCAGCAGCACTCCATATAAATCCATTCACTCGAGCAGGACTTTCCTGTGTAATGTTTCTTGGATGTGTTTCAATTGTTTCTTTCCACTTGCACCAGGCTTCCTGCAATGAATGGAAAACAGCTCACTGCTGCAGTGACTCGTGCTGGGACTGGTATAGTGGAGGTGTGATTTCAAAAACAAGCATATGGGACCCACAACAAGCATTTACATTCTCCAAAGATCTAAGCCCATAGAAACCTGATCATTTTAGAAAGCTAGTACTCTGTTGTACTGTTAATAATTCCAGTGATGACACCTGCCTTGAAGCAAGTGTAGCGGCGAG